GATTTCTGATTACTCAAGTTCTCTGAATAAATCACTTATGTACACTGAAATTGTAATAATGAAACAGAATTTACTGTGGTTTTGTGAAATATTAATTTGGAACTAAAATAAATTTAAGCTTTTTTAAATTAATTTGTTTATCTCTTCGCTTTTAAGTTCGATCGAAAGTTCAGAACGGTTCAGTTGCCTTCACTTAGAACTCAGAAATATTGATCAGTTCTGTTATAAAAAGCCTAAAATACTCGAGCAAACACTTATAGCAATATCGGCGTCTTTTTACAGAATTTGAGCCCAAAATAAATGTGTGCTTATTGACGTATTATATTTGTATATGTTATATATTTAGAATATTGGGAATGTATGTACGAATTAATATATTTTTAGTGCCTTTTTCAGTGAGTGAACTAAAAAGATATATAGAATATTTACCTTTAACTGCGCACTATTATTAAAAAGTAAAGACTATTAGATTGAGTACTTAACTAAAAAGGAAAATTGCAATAAACAATAAATATTATGATAGCTCTTCTTGTTAAAATCTTGTTATATATTTTGCAGCACGGATAATGAATACAGAAATATACATACATAATAACATACATATATCGTCTAAAAAAAATAGAGACAATTCCTAAGTTATATGTCAACATAACGATTACAGGGAAATGGTATGTTTGACAACTATTAAATAGGTTTAAAAATATTAAATTCAAATCAAACAAACAGAAATCAATTTCCTATAACTTAATTATTGACATCTTCATTGATATAACATATAAGTAATACTGAGTTCTAATCGAAACAGTTCAACTCCAATTAAAAAAAATAAACATACTTTTGGTGACGGAGAAATAATAACTATTATAAATAAAGAATACATATTAAGATAAAGAATACATAAATACTTTTAAAATATCAGTGACTTATATGGTAATCTTAATTATCACAATTAAATAAAATTTCATTCTAGTAGCAGAAAGAATATTTGTGAAATTTTACGTAGGTATGTATAGTGAAGGAATACGTTTTACAATCTTTCCAGAAAAATTATTTAGTAACAACATATAAACATAGAATGAAACTATAAAAGCATAATGAGAAATAAAAATATTCTGTGTGCGTATTTTATTTGATAAAATTTCTAAGAACTGAATAATTTACGAAATTTATGTATATCACACGTATTCTTTTGTTATATTTATTCAAAACTCTTTTGTATTCTGTATCAGTGGTGTAAGATGCCTCAGAAACGATCTATGTGCAAAATAACAAGACGTAACAAACGTGACTTACTGTTGTAAGATTTAGGTCTCTTTATATAGTAAGACATTTGTCTTGTCACTATCTTGTATGGATAAAGCTATTATTAACAACTAACGATAATGTTTTGTTATTGAAAAACTATGCATTTACATTATAAAGGTTTTAATATTGTTATTGCTTGTTAATGAGATCTAAGATTTTTGCGAGTACTCATTTAAATGAAACTAATATTTTCGGTTTTGCTACGCGTTTTTATTTTTGACTATAAACTACATACTCTTTTAATTTGTTGTTGAAGTTTTAAGACCAAAATTGAGTAGTTTTTGCTGTTACATCAAATTTATCCATATTCATCGATCATACTAATATTAAAATAGCGTTTAATTACAAGGGATAAAGAAAGGCTTTCCATTCGTTTCGTTATATATATGAGAAAAAAATAAAAAATGTTGAGTGTACTCTTTCGTCATTTGATTAAAAATTATGAAAAAGGTATAGTACTGCGTATGTCTGTCTATCTGATAGCAATAAACACAAAAAGTACAGCACTGATTTTCAAGCGGTTTTCACCATTTGATAGCGTTATTCTTGAGGAAGTTTTCAATATGTAATTGGTAACAACATTGTATTTATTTGTGTATACATAAACGGCATTTATTGAAGATGTCGGAAAACAAGCCCTCTGGGACCTTTTAACGAAGACGCTGCTTAAAAAATTTAAGATATAAGAAATAATTTATGGTGGAATTGTGTATCTTATATAAGATAACAGCAAAATCTTCAGTCGCATAAATTTACCTCTTAGGGACAACATACTATATCCATTTTACTACTTATAAAACTTAGCACGCCTGAAGTGTTAATTTGAAATCTATTTACATAATTACTTTATTAACTCTTATCAAAAAAATTACTTTGTGTTAAAGCCTATATCAGCATTTGTAAATTACTTTTTGAATCATCAAAATCGAACCTACCATTTGAAAGTTATCACAATAGAAGTTTAATAATTTTCAACATTGAAACAACGCGATAACTCGCTCAGTCGTTGAAACTCCCCACGCTCACTCTTGCCTTCTGTTTCTTTAGCTAATAAGAACGAGTATAATATAAGGCATGACTGATGAGTGTTTTTTTGCTTTGATTATTTAATTAGATATTCAGCTAGTCAATTTCGTGAATGTTATAGGTATATTTTTTCTTATTCATTAATAAATTGCATGGTCAGATATTAAAAGTTGCGGGAATAAAGCCCACAGTACTCATCGCACGGAAAAAATATATGTTGTCCTATCACTTAGGTATTATTTCTTAAAAAAATTTATTCATTTTTACACATGATCACGACATTAGTGTTGTATACAAAGAAATATTGTAAATTTCTTATATTAACATACTACATATTTTAACATAAAAATACGGGATTTCTTCGTTTAAACCAAAAATATATTTAAATAAAAAATATGATGAAATTTTAATTTTTCTTGATTTAATTAAAAAAGTATGTAGTCAACCAATTTACGTAACATAGGCTATTTTATATTTTTTTGTAAAGAAACTGCGTAGCCGGGACGGGTAGCTAGTATTAAAAAAAATAATTGGTCCGTGGCTTTTATATTAATCTATGCTAATTCAATTAATTTTAGTACACTATCTAATAACTGATGAAATTACCCAATTTAATGTCGCAAGGAATTAAAAGTAATATCCCCCCGGGCTTTCCTGTCTTTGTAACTTGACCGTAAAGGGTACTTGTGCAAATATTAATGTAAGTTAGCACGCAAATTGGTATTAGAATTCCGGTAGTATGAGGTCAATTTGCATTAATTAGTGCTAGGCTTTGTTAGGCTGTTATTGTTTACATAAAAAAATCCTTATTTTGTAGAATATAACAAAATTGAAGATTATTAAAAATTATTTACCTTTGATTTTATATCAAAATTTTGGTATATGATATACATATAATAGTGACCGTTATCGGAATATTTATTAATATCTTTTGTCAAGTTTACACTTATTTTTTTAGTCTCCTAAATTATAATTATTGCATTTTAGTCATGTATGATACAGTCCTAATGATTTATATAATGCTACATATGTTACGTATTTGTATAATAAAATTGTTGAACACCAAATGGAATCAATTATTTCAGCTGTTGTTGTTTTGGACATTTTAGATCCGAACGCAAACGAACCAATTAAAACTTGTGTGATCGGTCGCTTCTAGATTATCGATTCACATTTACCTTACGTATTTTAACTTTGAATGCATATTTTTTTCATACGAAATGTTTAAATGAATAGGGTTTAAAACTTAATTACGAATAATTCGTCTCAGTTATAAAGTATCTTTTCATAAGAACCTTTTGTTTCGAATAGAAAATTTCAAAAGGTTCAGTTTAAGCCGTTATTAATAGTGCAAATTACTCTATTTTTCCAACATTCTACATATATTCCTTCTTTTATTTATGTTATTTAAAGACAAATGAGGCGACGATTTAATTGATTTTATAATAACAATAGTCCATGCATATTTCTAAGTATAATATCCTCAGTGTCTTTTGCATAGGGATATTAACAAGGAACAATGGAATGTTGGAAGGAGAGAAAGTTAAGGGATTTCAGCATTCACTCACCTTTACCCATATCAAGTGCGAGAATGTGTACGGGACAGAGCTGTCTGTCTGCAACCTAATATACTTATTTTCATAAAAATTAAATGAAAATGAAACAAAATTACCGTTTTTAATGGACAAATTTATAATTATTTGAAGGATAAGTTTATTTAAATATATTTTCTATTCCTTTTCTTTAGTTAGAAACGAGGAGGAATTCGGAAATCTCCCTCTATCAGTAAAAAGTAATTAGTAATAGGATAATAATAGCCAAGCTTTATCACAATTGGTTTATCAGTTAATATAACCATTTCTACTAACTATTCATAGAAATAGGTTTAGTATAATGCGAATGATAAAAATGTTCACTTCTCTTATTACTCACCGGTAATGGTTTGTTATTTATAAGCTAGATATTTAAATGTTATGCAAAACCGTAGTTTCGGACTTTACACATATATACAACAAATGCACAAAGAACCTCTTTTTGAATTTAGTGTATGCGTATAACGAATTTAAATTTCAATGTTATTAATACTCAGGATTTAAAATTACGTAAATAGATTATATAACTTTATAACAGAACAATGTACAATACACAATTCAATCGTCGTATTAATTTCTGGTTATGATTTCTACAGTCTTACTAAGCCTTTGTGACACAGCAGACCATCCTACCAAGTCTCGAGCTAAAGTCTCACATTACCGTTGCCGCCTTTTTAATTTGATTCAAGTGACTACTTTTTACTACAGAAATTTAGGATTGACAATATATGTACTACCACATTTTAGAAAAATTCATTTCACACATTATTTCTTTTTAATTTTAATTTCATTAATACTCAATTAATAAATCGTGTTATGAAAACATTATATTTTATTTACCATGTAATATAGCCCGTTTTATAACAAAACTTAGATAAAATATTTTTATTATATTAGCCAGAAAAATATATTGAAATTGATTATCGAATTGTTTATGAAGTAATATTTATTATCTTAAATTATTTCAGTGTTGTTTGTGTGAATAACAATATTAATGAAAACATGTTCCACAGACCAATATTACTATGACTGTATCAGTTCAGTGAAGAATTATGTGATCGTTATACATTTATAAACATGTTGAACGGGGCTGATAAAGGACCTTCTCTTCAAGCATCACCTGTGAAGGTATCTCCTTCACCTGTGAGAGCTTCATCTAGTCCTGTACGGGCACCATCTTCTCCATTGAAATCCTCGTTATCTCCGGCTGGAAAACCCAGGTCACCTCGACGCTGCCAGTTTGCAGCTCCAGTAGAAGATGGGAAAGATAAGTGTGGGACATCATGGTTATGCCGCAGAGGCGCGGGTGCTGAAATCACAGAAGATTCAGGGTCAGAATCTCCAGGGCCAAGCGCGCCGCTTCCACAAGGCTGTGAAGATTCTGCACCACCACCAAAGAACTGCTTTAGATTAGTCATGCTAGGGTAAGTTCTTCTAATAACATATATAAAATTTATATATTAATTAAGTACTGTCGAAATATTTCGAAATTATGAACACTTCACTAGTTTTGTGTTGACTGTAATAAATTTCGCAACTTTTGGCAATGTTACTACATTTACACAGGGGCTGTGAATATAGAAAGTTTATTAAAATAATGCACGGCCAGTTTTATTCCCACAGGGATTTTCAGGTAGTTTAAAAATTTATAAACGTTAGCAGACAAACGAAACATTCTCTGAGGTCAACCTGAATATTCACATAAAAAAGAATACGAGGGTTTAAAAAGCAAAAGAAGCGTCATATTTAATGTGTTAAACACATACCCATGCTGTTAATAGTAAAACGTAAATGAATACGTTAGCTACTAAAGAATTGGTCTACTTTCCACTATTGTATAATTTCCTTCACTATTAATACAGGAAATTGTCTATAGTTATATGTTCCGATCTAGTTATTAACATATGTACACATATGAACATGTTTGTTAAAAAAATATAGATATTTATGAAAAATATTCACTTACAAAGTTAAAATTCACAGTTTTCCTTTGTGAAACTGAACAGCGAAAAGCTACAAAAAGCGTGTTCTATTTTGTAAATATTTATTTGAAATACAAGGTGTAAAAGTAAAAAAATATTTTTAGGTGAATTTAAAAGTTGCTGTGTCAATCGTTTTTTTTCACGGGTTATTAAAAAAAATATTAAATTTGGGAACTTCTTTGTTTAGAAAGTTATTTTACATTGATTTATTTTTGTTCTTACTCATTACGTTTCAATTAAAGTTACTGAATTAGATAATAAGTCTTTTCAATTAATAATTCTGATTGAAGTTAGCTGTTAATTATCTTGGAAAATCATTTACTAACGATTTTTAATGAAGCCTATTTAGGTACAAAATATGACAATGAAAGAATGTTTAAATGTTTATAGAAAATTATATATGTAAATTGAGGCTTTTATATAATAATATAAAGTATTATTTTGATTTCGACATCAGGTTGACATCGATTAATCGTTTTTCTCGACATTGGCAAAGTTTGAATTGATCTCGGGTCAGTAAGTTTAACCTCAACATGTATTTAACTTTGTAAGCAATTAAAAAGTTATATCATAAGTAAATTATGATATGTTTCGTGAAGTTTCAGTTAAAATTAGTTAAGTTTATTGAAATGATTTTATTGAAACATCTGTTTGTTATATTTTTATTTGTTTAGAGTAAGAGATACAAGTTACGTAAGGGAATTTCTTTTTCATTGTATATTGAATAGAATAAATACAGGCATTGATAGTATTGCATAGGTCATTAATTATTGTTTTGATGAAAAAATGCCTTGTCTCAACAGATCTTAATAAGCTTGTATTGTCTTTTATACACCACTTTTGGTCTGATCGAAATGCAAGAGTTATTTTTTCTGAGTGAAATTTATTTGAAACATTGTGATTGTTGAGCTATTGTTTCGATTGTTTTTATCATAAGTAACGATCATCTTGTTCTGTTATTAAAATGATCAGCTGATTGCCGAGTGATGTCATTTATAAAGCTTCTTAACAATTTTACTGCCATACGACGTGGGACTCTCTTATTAGAAATTGAGTCTTATTTTTTCAGAAATATCTATTTATTCAGATTTGTTGCAGTACACATTTTATACTTAGTTTTATTAATATAATTGATGGATGATTAAATATTATGATTGAATCAACAACAAAGGAACCATAAATTATCAAAATTAATTATTATATAAATTGAAAACAAACATTGCTAAATATTTATGTATAGTTTCTAACTTATTCTGTAACACGAGATCTAATCCCGTTCATAAAGACATAACTAACTCAGTCTCTTGTAGACATAGTCTAATATGGTGTCTAATTTGTAGTCAAAATTCTTCGTTTTAGATATTTAGTTGTTTGCAATTATTAATCATTTTAATGTATTTTTCTAATTATTGATGAAACAGATAATGTTAATTATCAGTTGAGATAAATAGAAATAGTTACTAAATAATATACAGTGAAATATATCGACACAATTCCAACCAGCGCCTTCCGGAGAATCGTTTCCGTCATAGTTGTCATACGAATAGAAGAATAAAGCATTCGACATATAGATTATTTTATTGATATATGTATATACTACAAGTTTAAACTATTTAATAATATTTTGTATGGTCATAACTGACACGTCAAATAAATTTGTTTATCATATTTCTATCATTAATCTAATCAATCTTCTAGATCGGCCCGGGTAGGAAAGACGTCGTTGGTGTCAAGATTTCTGGGTACGAAATTCGAAGATAGTTACACACCAACCATAGAAGATTTTCATAGGAAGCTGTACCGAATACGAGGCGAAGTTTATCAACTGGATCTTTTGGATACCTCTGGGAATCACCCCTTTCCTGCTATGAGAAGGTTGTCTTTTCTCACCGGTAAGTGTAATTCGGGAGATGAGAATGTATAGACATTAAGATTGCGTGGAACAGATGTGACGCGTTTATTTGTTTTATCTTTATATGCTCTTTTGCATATTATAAATTCGTATATAAAGAAAATTTCTATTCTAACGAAAATGTATCACATCTCTAACTTGTTCTTTAATCAAGCTTGGACATGTTTGACACTTTAAGCAAAGTTGTCTGTAGTATTTAACAAAAAATCACTTTATCTTGTAACAGGTGATTTATTTGTCCTGGTATTCGCAATGGACTGCCGGGAGTCTTTCGAGGAGGTCATTCGTCTTAGGGAGCAGATCCTAGATACTAAAGCTAGTGCAAGTGGCAGTAGTCGTGGTAAAAAACAGACACCGCGAGTACCTATGGCTATAGCTGGCAACAAATGTGACAGAGAACTAAAGTTAGTTTTTATGTTTAAATTACATATATTCCTACTAGTTAAAAGTTTTTTGAAACGGCTTGTCTGTAAAACTAAGTGTAAACTTATAGTTTTATATCCTCAAAACAAATTTGAAATAAAAGCAAAAAATTTAACTCAAACGAAAGAATGGACGATTAACCTATTAGTACCTATAATATTTTTTGATATAATTGATAAATTGGGTACAATATATCATTTATACATCAATACAACATTTCTAGTAGTGTGACAATTTAAATATTGTGTATAATTTTTTAAACAAATCATATTTAAATATATTTTTCTTTAATAAAGGACTGTGCAAGCGGAGGAAGCTGTCTCATACTGTGCTACTCAGGACACCTCCTGTGTTTTCGTTGAAACTTCTGCTAAAAAGAACTTCCATGTTGACGATCTTTTCTATGAACTGTTTGTTGTAGCGAATTTACCTTTAGAAATGGCCCCAAACCATCACAAACGTGTCAGCACAGCATTTGGTAGTCCATGTACCTTGCCGCCGACGAGTAGTCAGAGTAGTAGAAGTAAGAAGTGCACGTTGTCTATAAAAAGAAGATTGTCGGACGCATGCGGTGTGGTGGCGCCCAATGTCCGAAGACCAAGCATTCGCACAGATCTCATGATTATGAGAACCAAAACTTGTGCCAAAGGTGATGGAGATAGCGTGACTGGAAGTCCGAAGCTCAATTTGAATAGACTTGTACGATCAAATGCGCAAAACGACAAACGGTCATGTACAATCCAGTGATATTAATAGCTGTTAGTACAAATATTTCGGCTTATATTTAGACAGGTGCTAAAAATAGTAATTAAGATTGGTCTGGTTTTCCCCGTAAATAACTATTTCTTCAAAAATCTATCGATTAGCTAGATGACCAATATGATCAGCACTGTCTTCAACAAATTATTATCTTAAAACGATCTAAATGTAAATTGCTATAACAATACAATTTGTTACAATGGAGTGATGCTTTGTTTGATGTGAAATGCAGCGTGTGTTAACAAAAAGTATGATAACACTTAAAGCTTATTCATTGTTTATTTATTGGATCTGTGTATCTTAATGATAAGAGTTAATTGCTTTTATATCCTGTATTATATCTTTTTCGAAGTCATTTGTGTATTCCTCAATTTTGTTGTACATTCAGTTTATTAATGAAATGTTGAAAAGGGACCAAAATCGTTCTTTTAATGGCAAATATATCAAAATTTATCACAATGAAAGAATATTAATTTTTAATAGTTATTGTTATAATGTTGCTTTTATGTTGATGAATGTGTATTATATAGAGTTTCCACAACTTATCATTGTATCGTGTTATTTATATCATATTGTATTTATTCAACCTTTTGTGATCTTTACCCTCTTGTCTCTAATGGTAAGTATAAATATTGATTTTGAAATAATGATTTTTATTTCACCTATTATCATTTACATTTTGACAGTTTCCAAGATACATACAATTAACATTCTCTTAAATTGTTTGTACACTCAAGAAAAGTATATAAAAGCTGTAAAAAAATACTTAAAAAATTAAAGGATTCGACAAAAAAAGGATTCTAAAATTATTTTTATATATTCCACTACCACATAAAATGATGTAAAGGGATTACTCCACAATTTCAAAAGTACTCAACTGCGTTTTAAATATATTACTTTAATGAGATCTAAGATTTTGGCGAGTATTCATTTGAATGAAATTAATATTTTTCGGATGTACTACGCGATTTTTTATTTTTGATTATAAACTACATACTCCCGATGTTTCGTTTACTTTACAGTAACCGTGATCACGGGCAGACGACATGTGAGTGTTCGTCAGTTAATCTTGTTATCACCTACCGCCATAGATTTCTTAATTTTCTGTATTGACAATCTAACTGCCGTGCATCCGACCGACGTTGTCTAATATATAAAATGAGAAAGTAACCGTTTACTTGCCTGATGAAGTATCCTGCTTTATTTATTTAAAGACAAGTAATTACTCATAAGTAAAAAATGTCTAAGTTTGATTTGCTCTAGGAACATAATATTTATTAAGGATTTTCGGGTTATTAAATATCAATAAAAGGTACTTTATATTTGAGTATTTGACGAATTAAAGTTCAGGTTATGGTTTTAGTATAAAAAGGCATTTAAACAAAACACGCTTAATTTTAATTCGACGGGGATGCGTTTCCGAAAATATTTATTTATATACATAGTTAGATAAGGGGCCCCTTAAACCTACACCTGGGTCGCATGTCCCAGACGCTGTTGAAGCTCCTCTCCCTGCAACGATGGACCAGGCACCCGCACGGTGAATCTATTGAAAGCTAAGAGGTTTCGTCTCAACAGACAAATGTATGGTTCTTTGATAGGAAGATAAAAATATAAATGATAAGAATAAGCGAATTATAAATAGCATATTTTTGAGGAGAAATCGTAATGTCGTTTCACTATCTGAAACTTTGAAGAAAATATTTGAAGCTTGAACTAATCATATGATAATGTTAACTAATTATATAATATAAATCAGTTATTTTTGTGATTTTAGACACTGAGATCTATGTGTGTTCTGAAGTTATAATGTTTTTGTCTGGAAAACAAATACATTTAAAAATCATCAAACTGTTTTCTGCAATTCTAAACTTTGTGAATATCTATTTGAAAGCAATTTAATCCTAGAGTTGTTGAGAGAAATGCTCATCAAGTGAAAAGTTAAACGAATAGCTTGTGAGCATATTATTTTCTATTGTGGAAGGTAATATTGTAAATATTATTTTGCCATTGACATTAAGACAAACAAAATTGCTAGTATCCTTTTAGTGCAACATAATTTGCTATTATTTACACTTCTATGAATATCTTGCATTAAATTCCTATACCTATTTATTTATCTAATATATAGCGAATCATATTTAAATGAAAATAAATAAATAAATCAATAGAATACTAAAGTTTTTAGTTGTACATATGTCTTATAATACTTATAATACAATACTTAAACATAATTTTTATATAGATATGAAAATATTGTACACTCACAAAAAAATTTTTCATTGTCCCCATATCAATCTCCCGTCTTTCACCATCATGTCAAGAAATTAAGAAAAAAACTATCAGTACCTGATATAGTCACGAACATAGGTTAAAAATAATACAAATGAAGTAGTGACTTGCGGTCCAGAAGTTTCCCAGGGTGAAACAAATAAGGGCTACATGAAAAAACTTGTCTTCATATATTTATATATGTGAGTCGAGATTAGTTTCTAACAACAAAAGTTGAAAGAAAAACGTTTCGTATTTTTAAGATACGAGAGTACATATTTGGCGATAGTTCTCATATGTAGTAATGTTGGCTCTCTAGAAATTTCTTAATTTCAGTTTGACAGTTCTCTACAAAATTTCATTCATCTGAGATCGTCAAAATATTAAAATCAAAGTTAGAAAAAACGTGATCGTTTAATGACCCGTTGAGACCATACCGTTAAAAAACATCAAAAAGTCATAATCCTTTTACAAATTCAAATATTCATCCATAGACATACATCCATACAAATATTGCAGGATTTTATACGTTTTTGAAAGCATCAACAGTTTTACCTTATGCTGACAATTTGGAGTAAGCAATAAAATACATATCTATCTGAAATTGTTTCGATACCTTTTCAACATTAATACAAGATAACCTTCAAATGAATATATCTATGTATTTTTTATTTTAATCAATTTTAGTATGCGCTTGTCATAACTGTTATTAACCACTAAGCCCGGATATAATCAGCTGATTGCCACGCGGAGTAAAGCCTGTGAGCTTAGTGTGGTACTAACATGATCGGTAATTGTTCTCACTTTCATTCAATAACGCTACACATATTAAGGTATCTTAAACAATTTTCTGTATAAAATAAATATTTGTTAGAATAATTATATAGGAAAAACAATGACAGCTATCCGTCATCATAGTCATCAATCAAAACTACTACTGTCGTTTTTATATCATCCGCTGACTCGACGTGATAGGAAGGTATGATAAATATAATGCCCTTATAATGTATCTACTTGTTCTATTTCTACAAATAAAATTATATCAAGTATTTTAATTTAAAATTTAAAATGCAGCCTTTTTAGACGAGGAAACTAGTTTGGTATTATTGAATAATTTTTTAAAGTATTTTCTTTATAAAAATTTAATTCAATCCTTATTTGTAATACTTCTTTAATTCAATTTGTTTTAAAGTGAATGTAATTAAAATATTTCTAAAGAAATCTCAAGCAAAGAAACAAAGATGGTCCTGGAGCCCATTGTTTATGCAAAATAATTCAAATCTATTTTAATTTGTTTAATCTTTATGAGAATTCCAATTTCAGGAGACCAATAACAGCTTCTGAATTTTTAATATATAATTTGTCTCCTTTAAAATATTACTTGGATCTTTGACACAAAATTATTTTGCTAATGATATCGAGATGACGACATCTCCAGTAAGTATAATTTTTCTTACCTAACGTTTAGAAAGCAACCTAAGGTTTTACTTTAATGAATTTGAAATAAACGCGGTGGCGTTTCTTATCATATATGATTTTTATTTAATTAATAAGTTACTTTTCTGTTGTTACGTGCAGCACAGAATATAAGTGTTCCATTGTCTTCTTATGTTAAGTATTATACAAAAGACATAAAAAAAATCTTTTTCCGGTTTTTAAATGTACCGCTTCTGCGGTATAAAAATCAGTATTCCATTTATATTTAAAGAGGGAAAAGCCTTACACAGTATCTCCTACTTCGCCTAGAACCAGCAAGCCTTTAGGTTCATGACTTTTTCTTAAGAGCTCATTTAAAAGCCGGCGTTATTTAGTAAATAAGCTTACTTGATAGCATCTTTTTTGTATCAGTCGTGTATTATATGCCTTTTGCTGAATTCAAAGAAATTAAAGAATTGAGTGGTACGGTATAAAAATAATTAAATGATAGTTTTATACATTATTCCAGATACTTTTACTACTACAAAAAGTTTAGGTGTTCATAATATAGCAGTTGTCACATTATTATTCATCATATTAAATTTAAATAGCACATCCCTTTGTTTTTTGTGAAATATTTATTAATTCTTTTGTTGTGAAATATTTATTAATTCTTCATAGAAAACTTCACTTATCCTTTACTCTATTAATGAACCTTAAATAGACATCTGCTATTAATAAATATGTTTTCCATAAGTGTTAGTGTGTTGACATAAAGGTGTATATTGTCTTTTAAAAGAATGAACGAATGAATGTTCATTTAACATAATTACTCGGAATCGATAACTCAACGTCGAGTCTTTGTTCGTATTTTTCATATTTAATGCAATGACAATTACATGCGTGGTAATTCAGTAAATGCTTTCATTAATACACATAAAATGATCATAAATTTTCGTAATTTTGACATTATTAAAGTAGGGTGAAGGTAAAATGACTATAACCTCATAATTATAGTCACCTAAGGATTAAAGTAGGTAACCGTTTAAAATTGATTCACAATAATTATAAAGAATAAACAACCGAATTCTTTATTTATATCAGAATTATTAATTTGTGATGTATAGACTGTTTGGAGTTTGAATTTTATATATTTTGGTAGATAAGTGATTTTATTGTTAGTGTTATCTTCGTCAGTGAAAGATTACTTAAGAGGAGGATCTTTTATATTATCCAGAGACTTTGTCTACTATTTATAGTATTTATTTAAGAAATAAGAAGTAATTAAGAGTTATATATTT